TAAGCATCATTATTCATTCAGAGGCAATATGGTTTAGTAGAAAGAACATGGGATTTCATTGTAGGAGTTCCATGGGTTTTAGTGCCACCTCTAACACCTACCAGGTGTTACTAGTTAGTAATGAGTCACTAAAGTTCTCTGAGCCTGTTTCCTTACTTATAAAATGAATGGTTGTCTTCTATCTCTAAATTCCGTGATCTTGAATCATTCCTGGCACTCAATGATTAAAATACACAAAACTACTCACTTTAAAATGTGTTAAATGGCAAAATAGTATTTAATCAATTAATTTAGAGACAGCTAGCTAGTATAATGGATACAATGCTAGGCCTGGAGACTAGAAAATCTGAGTTCAAATCCTACCTCAGACATTTACCAGTTGTTTAACCCTGAGAAAGTAACCTCTGCTTCAGTTTCCGTAATTATAAAATGGAGGTCATAATAGCCCATACCTCATGGGGTCATTGTGAGCATCAACTGAAATGGTACCCTTAAAAGTCCTGTTCAGGGAGGACTAGCACCTCTGGTGTGAGGACTTGTTGAGTACTTGTCAGGGTTGCTCTACCACCTTTGATGTCCACCTTTCACCCAACTTTCACCTGTGGTTCAAGAAGCTGTAGCATGCACAGTGGCCATACCATGGTAAAACTGTCTGAGTAGATATCAGATTGAGAATAATTGACAGGCCTCAGACCTTTTGCTGATTTAGGGGGATGTCTACCCCAAGCATGGGAAGACTTCCCCGGTGGAATGGGCCAATGAGAAAAATTTGTTCCAGTAACCACGAAGGTGGCCGAAGCAGTTTCTGTGGATCACTTAGAGCTTTGTTAGATAACAGAGATGTCAAGGTCATCCTGCACCCAGGGCCATTACCAGTCATCCTTACTTTTGTCTTGCTACTGGGCTTTGATGACTCTGGAAGAGACAGTGAGGCTGATGACTTTGTACAACTCTGCCTCACTTAAATCTAATTCACACACAGGTCAAGACATCACTCTGTGATGATATTGGTCTTCTTTGAAAGTGAAGGATGAATGACATCACAGAGTATGGTACATAAGAGGCTCTTAATAATACTTGTTCCCAAAAATAAAAGAAAATCAAATATCCTATACTATAGCTAGAGTATATAGTTGCTTTACACTTTTTCTAAGGCACAGGAATGGGGACTAGACCTATGATTTCATTGGCATAATGAACTCCCAGGAGAACCCAATTCCCACCTCAAACCCAACCAATTCAGTTTTGTGACTTCTCTGCAGCTTAAAGTCTTAAAGAGTTGCCTTGAGTGCTGAGAGGCTAAGGGCCTTGCCTGGGGTCACACAACCTGCCAGAAGCAGGTCTAGAATTCCAATCTTTGTGCCATGGAGGTTGGTCCTTTATTTACTTTACCAAACTTTCTCTCCAAGAAACAATAACTGCACATTTCCAACTCACAGGATTCTAGTCTCTGGACATTTTCTGAATGGAATTACATCTGAGACTTCATGAAGAGACTTGGCTTTTAGCTCTTTTTCAAGAAAAAGGGCATCTAAATGGGATAGCTTGTGATGAAGTAATAATGTATATCTTGTGAGATTGCACACAATATGCACTTTAGAACTATTAGAACATGAATTCTTAACTGGAGGTCCTTGAACTTGGTTCAAAAAATTATTTTGATAACTGTGTCAATAAGGTTATTTTCCTCTCTAATCTTATGTTTTTTACTTTATGTATTTCAAAACATTTTTCTGAGAAAGGTCCATAGGCATCACCAGACTGCCAAAGATACCCATGACACAAAAAGGGTTAAGAGCCACCTCAGTAGGAAAGTGAAATTAAAATTTTAGATACTTCAAAATTTCAAGGATCCATGACTTTGTCAATATAAATACTTCCTCCACTGACCCCTCTTCACTCATATAGATGGTCTTTTCTGGCGTTTGTATTATGATCATCTTTACAACCTGATGGCTGGACTTCTAGTGATCAGTCTCTCCAAATTCAGCTAGGCTGTTCTTTAATCAAAAGTATACAGTTCATCCCTGTGCAAATACTTGGAGTTTTTTTTTTTTTAGCTTTTTTACCTTATTTGCCACAGAATGTGCTCCACTGCCAAAGCTTGAAGAACTTAGGGTCACTTCAAGGCCATGATGAAGCATCAAAGTAGTACATTCTTGGAAGAAATTCAAGATAGGGTACAATTATTCTTGGATTCTTAAGTCATGTTTGCAAATAGCTCAGGCTTGTAAGTGAAGAAAAACATAGATAGTTCCATGCACAAATGCATAGGAGTCTCTCCAGAGTTTGTGAGGCCACACTCATCCACAATTCCTCTTATTAAACAATTAAGAAAACATAGTAAATTTAGAACACCTATTAAGAATGCCATATACAAGGTGACATAGAAACAGAGCATGATTGTTATGGTGCTCATGAATTCCAGGCAGATGATTTAGCATCACCATGAATGCTCTGAACTTACTTGATTTTTCTGTTGTTTATTGGACTCTATACTACAGATATTTATGGAAGAGGAAGCTTTTCTCTATGAAAGTGAATATTAGCTGTGCTTAAACTTCTTTGAAAAAAATTGACTTGCGCGTTCAAATTTGCATTTCTCACTTTTTGTTCCAAGTAAAGGTGTTTAGCTATTTTTAGAAAACAGCTAACAAATAATCAATCATCAAACACCCCAGTTGGGACAGGCACATCATCATACACCACAAAGTGCAAAGTCTCAGGTATTAGCAATCCACCTCCAGAAACTAATAGATATAGGGTTGGTGTTGTAAAGAGAAAGGATGTATCACTTTTCTTGGTGAATGTAATATGAATGAGTAATATGTGTTGCATTTGTTCAGGAAATGTATTTGCCTACCAACTGAAGTTTTAAATTCAACAAGAAAAGTCTGCTGAGAAACCATACACACACATGTATGCAAGCTCTTAAAAATATCCCTCTTGCCCTTCTTAAGTGCTATTCCATTCCAGGCAATATTAAGACTAAACAGTATGTGGTCATTGATCTCCTGGTGATGTTGCACTCTGGGAAATGCTGAGAGTGTGCAGAGACATGGCTACAGTCGATAGATGAGCTTTTGAAGAAGATTTAAGAAAAGGGGGAAAAGGAACATTTAAATCACAGTGAGAAGTAGAAAGAAAGAGATCAATTAGAAAAAGAAAAGTCTAAGGCACATAGTTTATTTTTTTTCCTTTCTAGACCCATTCTCCAGCATTCTATTTCACCTGTCCTTTGGTCCTCCCCTGTCCCCTTCTGTATACTAATTCTAGGAGAGTAAAATTGCAAAGATTTCTTCTTCCTGGTATGGAGTATGAGATTAAGTGAGACTTTTTTATTTCTTGGAAAAATTAGCAGCTGTTTTAAGTCAATGAAAAGTAAGATTAAAAGATAGAGAGCGGCAAGGATCCAGTGTGCAGTATAGGCTGCTCCCTTCAGAGTCAGCACATACTTTAATCAACTCAAACAGTTTATGCTCAGCGCATTACCTAAGGGTTTTCTGATGATAATGTAAGTTTGTAAAAGACTCCTTTGAGCGTTCTCGTTCCTCTCTCTCTCTCTCTCTCTCTCTCTCTCTCTCTCTCTCTCTCTCTGTGTCAGAAAAAGAGCTTATATTTATTAGGGCAAACCTCTGACTTAACACTGTTTTGCTAGCTAAGTGCTTCATTTTAAGGAGTGTTGAAGTCAGGCACGGACCCGTATGTATCCTTCAAAAACATCCGCTGGGTCTAACGCATTGATTTGTTGTGCTTAATCCACACACAACAAATACAAACTAACTGAACTCCCCCAAAGGCAGAGATGGAACAGCTTCAAAACTTTTTTTTTTTTTGGAAGGAGTAGGTAGACGTGAATTGTAAACAATAGCTTCTATTTAGTGGGATCTGGCGGGGAAGGAGACCAAGTAGCACAAGAGAGATCAAGAAGAAAGATCCCCAGAGGCTGGCTGCAGTGATCTTTTTAAAAAATCAAACCCTTTCCCTCTTTCAGCCTTTGCACCCAGCAGACAACTGCTCCCCTTACGGAAGGTTTTGTGGGGACACACACACACACACACACACACACACACACACACACACAGAGAGAGAGAGAGAGAGAGAGAGAGAGAGAGAGAGAGAGAGAGAGA